ATTTATTACCAGGGGGAGCGCGTGGGCTGTAATATTGGAGCACAATATCAGGGCCATCATCATGCCACAGAAACTGCTGTGCAGGTGGGATGGCAGAGCTTCATACATCAGGGCCTGCAGTGGTGTCTCTGGAAACTTCTAATAACATTTAATTATACTCAAGTGTATTCAGATCCAACATTTCAGCTGGAGCTGACACCAATTAGGTGCAATACATCAAGCCAAACATTCTCTGCAAACACTTGGACGGCTGAAATGTCCTTGATGGGAGAGAATGTTTATATGAGTGAGATAATAGGTGTTGCAGCTAATTGTGTTCATTGGTAAAAGAAAAAAATAATAAATAAAAAATAACTTTGACTGTCGGCAGTAAAACTCTTAATTGGGCTGCTCAATTTGCATTCACATTTCATTCACATTCAAAGGCATAAACATGAAGAGACAGAGTGAAACTATCCATTTTAACAGAGAACTGTTTGTCCTCACCTGTCTGTGGTGTGTAAGGCCAAACTCTGTAGGTCCTTTTCCTCGCTGGCTTGAGTCTGCAGGTTCTTGACCTGTTCGGTAAGTCTCTTTGCAGCCTGCTCTGCCTTCCAGCGCCGCTCCCGCTCCTGGTCTCGCTCTTCCACTATTGCCTGCATGTAAAAACACAAGCGCTTTACTCTTTTTACATCTACAGTAGCTTAATAAATAAAAAATATGCTGGACCTGAGCAGTGCAGTTTGCATACCCTGTAGGTTTCCTCTTGAGGTTGAGTTGAGCTTTTGCTAGGACTTGCTTTGATGATTTTGTTTTTTACAGACTCTATGGTTTCAACAGACCCAGAGCTCTGGACTGATGTCCTCCTACGGGCACCAACAGCCAGCTTCGTCGACTTCTGCTTCTGTGTATTTGTCACACTGCAATGGAAACAAAATTCATTTCGGACTAGTGAGAGATAGTAGGTTGATAGTAGAACTTATGGAAAATATTAAATATGTAATATTTTTTTTTTACATTAAATATAGAACTATGTAAATATAAATAATTTAAATGAACATAAGGATGCATTGTTGTATGTATTCAAATATTATTGCTGTAACTCATCAATAGTAGCTCTCTCTAGTTCTGTGATAATTGAAGTTTACGTTTTGATGAAGCTAAATGAACTTTGTGACAGTGTAATCATTCTTGTGTACAAGCAATTTTAAGTGGGAGGAGCAAGGACAATTTATAAACTGCCCCGATTACTGGACTACTGCAAAGCCTTTGTTAGATGCGCCATCCAGTCTTTTTGTATTGGGTAAAGAATGCAGCAAGTAAATATTTTGAACAGCCTCTCAAAACACAATTCAAGGCCTGTGCTGAAGTAAACATTATTACACTATTAATCAAATCCAGTAAACTGTAATGATAAGTATTTGTGCAACTGAAGTCTAAATTCTCAAAAAACACTCGAAATTCAGTTTGAGACCAAGTGCACATATACACTGTATATATATATATATATATGTGTACAAGTCACTTCACCTTTCAGATTGTTTGGGTTTGGTGTCCTTAGACAGTTTTTTCCCAGCAGAGCCTCTGGGATGAGACAGGATTCTGGAAAGCCGTTGGTTCTCTTTTCCACTGTCACATTCGCTCTCTGATGTCTGATCTGTGTCTCTTTTAGCTTTATGTACCACAGAAGGTACAGAACTGTTGGTGTTAAAGCCAGCCCCTGTAGGGATCTAAGTACAAATGTAGAATTTGTACTTTTTGCTTTAAATTATCATTCATAAAAAAAGATTGCTAAATCTTTTTAAAGAAAATACTGATAATAATGATAACTGAAATGTAATAATCAATTTTTACACAATGTACCTTCTGGATTAGATGGGAAACCTGCTGCTCTAGTTTTTTAATTCGCTGCTCATTTTCTTGATTTTCCGCAGTTGGTTTTCCCCCTCGTTTCCGAAACTGGGTCAGGACTTCATCAATCCGTGGAGTAGTGAGAGGAGCATCTGACTTTGCCTTCATAATAAAGAAACACTCTGAACATAAGCATGTGTCTCACTACCACCTCAGATAAATATATAAGTTAGGGTTAGCTAATTAAAAAGCTAATCAAAAAGTATGGTACAACTATTTTACCAGTTCTCCATTAACACTAGTGTCTGATGAAATTAGAAACTCAAGAAAGTCCTCAAGACCAGGAACATCCATGGGACTGTCCTCTGCTAAAGGAGATGTGTTTCCAAGGCGATCTACTCCATCTAGTGTGGTGACTTGATGTACAGATTGAAGAACCATTTCCCTGTAGCCTAAAACATAGAAAGAACATACCAGTGATACTAGGGGCCAGATTGACTAAACAGGGCAAATTAACATAAGAGCGCAATTCCAAAAAAGCGTTGATGAGAGTGTAAAGTTCTGCACGTTATCTTACGACACGCAAATTAAAGAACACAGACGCAGCTGGATCATTTCAATAATGACGCAAATTAGCGTCTGGTTTAGGCCCTGCTTTTTTTTGACGGTAAACAATGGCACAAATACCAGTAAACTGACAAGTGCAATCCTTAGTAAATCTATTCGCGTGATTCATTTAAATACTCTCCTCATGTAAATTTTGTGTCTGAAAGGGAAACTCCTACAAATACATATGCAATAAGGTCAGTCGCAAAAACAACTGTGTCTTTAGTAAATCCTGAAGTAAGTCCTTTAGTCATTTTTTAACACCAAAAGAGGGTTTGCGCTGGCGGCACAAGCTGTTAGTAAATCTTGTTTTTTCTTTTTCTTTCCTTTTTCACTATTTCAGACCTTTCACCACATTTCATTACATGTCAGGAGGACTTTTCCAACAAACCTGGCAGCGAGCAGATTGGATTCTGTGCACCGTCCTTGCTAAGAGTAACATCTTTCAGATTCTGCAGTCCCACCATGCACTGCAGCAGGTGGTTCATACTCTCCAAACGATTGCTGTGGAGCTGCAGGTACTTTAGTTTGTATTCCGCTCCATGGAGATACAAAAGACCTAAAAGCACAGAGCAGAGAATGACTACACAGTTGTCTAATTGTGATCTACACAACTGTTGTTCAAAAATTTAGGATCAGTAAAATTTTCTTATTAAGGTACTTTTATTCAGCAGGGATGCATTAAGTTGTTCAAAAGTGACTTTAACATCGGTAAAAAAAAAAAAAGATCAAATCAATTCTGAAAAAAAAAAATCCTGAAAAAGTCCTGAAAAAATGCTTCATGGTTTTCACTAAAATATTAAGAAGAACCACTGTTTTCAACATTATTAGTATAAAACATTTAAATGAGCACAAATTCAACATATTAGAATGATTTTTGAAGGATCGTGTGAGACTGAGTAAAGGCTGTTGAAAATAAAGCTTTGCCATCATAAGAATAAATTACAGTGTAAAATATATAAATCATATTAGAAAAGTATATTCAATTTTTTTTAATTGCAATGATAAAGTATTTCACCGTTTTATTGTATATTGGATAATACAAAAAACTATGAGCATAATGGTGACCATAAGAGACTTCTTTCAAAAACATTTAAAAAATCTTACCAACCCCAAACTTCTGAATGGCAGTGTGCATTTCTTATCTTAAATGTCCAATTATTCAGAGAGCTAAAACAAACTACTCAGGAATATTTGATGGAAATGCAATCTAACCAACCAGTTAGGTCATTTATTTGATTGTAGGCCAAATTCAGTCTTGTGAGGTTTGTTAGTCCATTAAGTCCTGAAATAAATCCATATATTGACAAATCAGACACAATTTCATTTGACCATTTTTTAGAACATTGTTTTACAACAAAAAAAATTATACTACAATGCTAAAAAAACATTCTTAATATTTTCTGCCTCCAAAAGTGTGAGCTTTACCTTCTACTTTAGAAATTAAGTTGCAGGACAGGTTTAGGGTGCGCAGAGAGGACAGGGAAGCTAATCCTTCTATACGACAGATGTGATTGGATGACAGGTCTAGATGTCTTATGTACCAAGCTGTCGCCAAGCCCTCAATCTTAGTGAGGCGATTGCAGTGAAGATTCAAGGATGAAATGCTGGGATTCAGATGGACCTCTAGTAGACTAAAAATAAATATCTTCAGTGAAGTCACCATCAAACACTACTGTACTTAAAATACAATCCAGTATTGATAGTCTAAATCTGAAGTAGAATGAGTTAAACTCACCTTGAAATATCCTTATCAATTAGACAGAGCTCTCCAACAGCCATAACGAAGCTGCAGACTGACTGAGAACAAGCTTCTGTCTTTATCAACCTGTCAAAAATAATAAAATAAACCCACAATAACTGGGGTGTCACATGACCGAATAGGTCACAACAGAATCGATGACAGTGACGGAGAACATTAACCACAACATAGCGTGTTATTGTTTCATGTTTATGTACAATGGCGCAACAAAAACGAGTGTCCATTCATCGAAATAAATGTTAAATTGGGTCATTGATTCAGATCACGAGAATTAAGACAAAGAACTGCGGTAAGTTAATGTTTCCCAAGTTTGAGACTATGGCCGTCCGACAGTTCAGCACTTGACAACACAACACATAATGTAAACAAAGCCCAGCCTGATCGTTTACAGACTTGATTGTGCTGATAACAGACATATTATCCTATTAAAAGGCATGTAGAGTTGCCAGGGTCGTATAAAAGTACAACATTGTTAGGTAACGTTACAGCTTTAATCCAGCATTAATGTCAAATGCAAAGTGCTGTGAGGTTAGTTAGTTTTAACGTCAGTTCTTCTTCTGCTAGCCTCGGTTTATTTTTATTAATTCTACAATAACTTCGTCTCCATTATGCTATAATTAATATGTATAGAAGGCAACGTATTACTATCACCTACCCGACTTGTGGAAAACTTTAACTGCCTGGGTAGGATTCAAAGCTTTTACCGCTGCAAAAATTAAAAGTCCCGCTTAGTCTTAATTCCCATTTCCGGCCTTGTACGTAGTCACTTCCTATAGGCGTGAAAGTCAAAAAGCTGCTATAATTGTTGATGTCTGGTTGATTTTATTTCACAAATTTGTGGCAATATTACATTAAACATAAAAATAAACACTTTTCAGATGATGGATAAACCACAATAAAATATAGAAAAAAAATAGATAAAATGTAAAAGGAAGCTTTTCAAATGTGTGAGACATCAATCATTTTATGACAGTTTACTTATACATAAATGTGCATTCAATAAATATTATTCAAATATATGCATAATCATTTAATGCCGAAAAATAAAATGCACATAGGCTACAGTAACGTTTTCCATTTATTTGTAAACCTTTATGACAATGACTCTTAAGTTTATCACTTGTTTTGCTAGACAAAATACATGAATTATTTTACATATTTAGTTGAATAGCCGAAAACCAAAGTTACCATTTTCACCATTTTGTTTTGTCTATTTACACATATCATGTATGCAGATATCAGAATAACTTCATAGATACTTTCAAATTTCTTACAAAAAAGAATGATTGAACGAAATAAATACATATACATACATACATTTATACATTCATATATACATACATACATACATACATACCGGTACATACATTAATCAATACATAAAGAGTTTGACATGGAAAGGTCAACAATTCTAGCTAGATATCTTCCAAACATGATGCGCTGGTCTCAGTCCTAAAAAGAAGAAGAAAAAAGTCAAAACAACATCAACAACAAAAATCATCAATAAAAGATTTAAATATTTTTATAATAATAGATATATCACAAAAATATCTTTTTGTTGTATTATTACTTTTTAGTAGTATCAGAAATGTCCAGTATCAATAGTGTTTTCCAAGAAACTGTTGGTTGTACACTGATTGAAGCAAATAAGAACTTTTTGCTTGCCTGATACTGAAGGTCAAATGACGAGAAATTTCAGAGACATTAGTACTTATAAATGAATGGCTTAAATAGCTTTTAGTTTACATGGCATTGGTTCTAAATGCTGAGGTCTGTCTGGAAAGGATGAATGCAGTAAACTGCACAATACAATGACATTCATGAAGAGCAGACAGTGTCAGACAGTACATTTCACAAAACACTTGAAGGAAAGATGCAATCTCATTTTTGATGATGTCAAATAAAAAAGACAAGTATTTCAAACATAATATGACATGAATTTGTGGTACAAACCTTGTTCAGTTGTCTACATCTGATATTGGGTTTTCTATCTGGGATTTAACACACATACAGACAATTTAATCCAATACAAGTGGGTCTTATTCATATATCAAATTAAAACAAATGACATTTCACATGCATATGAGTTTAATGACAGCTCACCAGTTCTTTGTTTACTCTGTCATAATATCCATCATCACCTTCATCTGTCACGTCCCAGGACCCCCCTTCCTGATCCACATCTTCTCCAGAATTTTCTTCGGTTTCACTATAGAGAGATTGATAGGCCTTCTCGCGCTTCCAGTGGGCTTCTACACAATATAGAAATGGCAGACAAAGAGATGACTGAGATTTATATTTACAGAATTAAAAGGTAGCAAACTTTCAAGTAAGTAAAACTACACAGGTTTGGGGATGGCCCTCTGCCAGCCCATTTTTTTGTGTGTGTGTGTAGGAACAGAGTGCTGCTGTTTTCGATTCCCTGCACTGACATTGAAAGTGATGAAGACAAGTGTTTTTAATCTACCTCCTGCCAACATGGCCTCTACCCTGATAGCAATGTTCATTCCATCCTCTTACCTGCTTCTGCTAACTGCTTCCGTTCAATCTTCTCAAGCCTTCCCAGTAAGGAGTCAATCTTAATCTTGATCTGAGACAGTTCTTTCTTGATTGTCAGGAGCTGATCGGATTTCACTTAGATAAAAAACACACCCCCCAAAAAAAATTAATCGTGAGGATGAATATATCACTGTGATTTTATCAGCTCATTGTATTACTTTTAGTTTTAAAATAGTTATGGTTGGCAGTAGATTATGGTTGGCATGGGCATGCTATAGTCCAGGTTGGGACATGTTGTCCTTGGGGCTAAAACATGATAATGGAAATTGAAATGAACTGATAAAATGGACTTGGAATGATACAAAACCATGGAGCATAAGGAACCTGAGGACAGCCTTCTTAGAGAAGAGCAGGTGGACATCTTTGGCTGGAAAGACTTTTTCGTCCTGCGTGTTGAGAGTGCAACCAAGCGGGAATGCTTGATAGGTATCATAGCCCGAGGGGATGGTGCTAATCGCCCACGAATGTCAAAAATCCTGAAAAAAATATATTATACAAAATATTTAGTTCATTATAATTACAGTATTGTTATTATTTAATCACTTTCAATCCTGGAAAAAATGATTATGGTTTCCACAAAAATATTAAGCAGCACAACTGTTTCAACATTGAAAACAATTTGACCACCAAATCATCATATTAAAATTATATTAACTTAAAGAGAAACAACACTTAAAAATTGTGCCGACTGCAAACTATTTGAATGGTAGTGTATGTACACATTGAAGAATCCTTGTTGATTTTTTTAGTTAAACGTGTCACTAAAATTGCTTTTCTACAAAATATAATTTATTATGCATTTTTTATTATTATTATTAGAGGTACAAATGTAACTTTTGGCCATGCAGCTATAGCAGTTAAAAAAATGCATTTGGTTGTGCTTCGGTTATGTGTGACTGGGTGGATGAATTTGCCCCTATACAATAGATAATGCTTTACAGTGAACTGTACTGGAGAGCTACATATGGCAATTTATCTGTGTATTTATCTCTAATATACTTTAATGATATCACCTGTTGAGTAATAAAAATGCAATCTCTGCATCAGTTTTACAACATTTCAAATCCCTCATTTCTCGCCATCACCGAAAAGCCAAGCCAATGTTGATTCTTGTTTTATTACAACCTTTCTCGCTCATTGTGACAATTATGCCACTCCATACACACGTCATATAGCCGGAGGAATTTTTTCTCCATTTACAGATATGACAAGCAAAGCCAAGTGTTCGCAATTTCAAGCTAATAAAGATAATAATAATAAACATAATAATAATAATAGGTCCTGTCAGGTCTAAAATATAAACACTTATGGCTTCCCATAGTGAATCAGGGTAAGAGAAAAACACGTTTTGGAAGAATGATTTATGATATATTAACTAATTATTTATATTTAATATTTGGAAAAAAGTTACAGTCACGTACCTTTAATATTTAATTAAAAAAGTTACAGTCAGTGTACCTTTAATAATTAACAAAAATAGATGTTCACTAATGATCTAAGTCTTCTGGACCCCATTTAAAATGACCAGCTGTAATCCAATAATTCTGTTGTACCAATATGGAAACTGACATATCATGGCATGTATAGAATTTCATTAAGTTTCATTAAGTAAGCAAGATCACTTCTTAGTCCCTGTCCCCGGAGTTAACATTTGATAAGCATAATTAGGTTTTTAACTAACTGCACAGAAGGGATTTTGTTCGTTAGCACACATATATTTTCCGTGGAGAAGTATAAAACTCAGCTCTGCCAAATGAGGAGTGAAAGCAAACACATGAAAATGTCAGAGGAAAGATGACCGGTGTGTCTCGCGCTGCTTGGTTAACGACCCAGCAGCTTTCTGACATTCAGCTAATGTCTCACAGGAGAGGAGTGCTCATCATTAGCCTGAGCAAAGGATCGAAGTCAAACCAATAAAATGACATTAATTATGGACATTAGGGGAAGCTCTTCCTCTACTTTTTCAACTGCTTTTATTTTTCTCTTCACCTTACCTCACTTTTTCATAGCATAGAAAAGGTTAAACGAGACAAGGTGGATCTTAACTAAAAATTTAATTAACAAAAACATGTTACAAATCTCCTGTAGCAAAGACCTTACCAAATCAACAACTGAACCTAAATTATTGGTATCTTTGAATTATTGCATTTTCATAAGTAATTGCATGTACATACCTGGTATAGAAATCATTCCTGTAGAAATCATAATCAAATTCATAGCCACTTAAAAAAAAAAAAAAAAAAAAAAAAAAAAAGATGATTAAAATGTTATTTCAATATTTCCATGTCTACTAATTACAATGGGGGAGGACTATAATTCATTTTAGGTGGCTCACCTGTATAAGGAGAAGGGTCGCTTGGATCCCACTTTTGGCCTGTAAGGACGAGGCTCTCCAGCCATGTTAATGTCTGTGGGAAGAGCAAAGGACATTATGAAGAAGAAAAAAACAGCATACGCTTCCTTTTTTATATATAGTCTCCTTCAAATAAATTTCTAAAAATGGCCGATGAATATTCTGGACAGAAAAGCCTCTGCGCCCTCTGAAAGAGCATAAGCATTATGCCACAGAATAAATAACTGATGGCTTGCATCTGTCTCATCAGAAAGAGAGATGCTATCAGAGCAACAGCCTCACTCCACACACAACACACACACACACGCACAATCACTCCTGAGTGCCTTTCAAGGTCATCCGGCACGTTATCCAGAAGGACGGACTGAGTGCCTGACTAAATCACAATTCGGGGCTTTAAGACATTTACAAGCAATTTAAGCCTTCACTCTGATGAAGCACAAAACAAAGCACTAAATCTGTGAGGAAAAGTAGTGCACTTTCAGAGTTTAGATTAGTCTTTGCCTCACTGAGCCAAATTCATTATGGAAGCATACAGACCTTTTAAATGGTCACGCTCCGAATATGTGAGATTGAAGTTTCAAAACATTTGAATGAGAGTGTCACTAGGTGGAATACAGTATATTGGAAAATACACTCAACCAGTGGTGTAGTCTAGTTTTTTGTAGTGAGTATACTGTGATATACAAATCCCCCCCCACCCGCCCACACCCATTTTCTACTGTTTAGTGTAAATCGCCATCTAACTCAGCCAGTAAAGAGCTACATTTAGCCTTAGATGTTATATGGTCCCTGAAGCACAGGTTTTATCAGCTGACAATTAAAATACTTAAACATTATAAGCACAAATAAAAATTTACTTTTTAAAAACTTGTGTGATATTCCTTTAAAATTATGTTTTAATATATTTGATTATTATTATTTAAAAAAGTACATCTTACTATGCAATTTCTTGCATAATTTCCTCGGGTAACTTTATTTCTCTCTACAAACTTTTATTTTGGTGGGTTGTAAATTAAAGACATTTGAGCTTCTGTGTGTTATAATAAACTATTATTATTATTAGGCCTACTTGAAGTATACTCTACTGTGCAATAGTAATATATTTCTGTTATATTTTCCTCAAGTTATACAAAACTTTGATTTTGACAGGTTGTCATGAAGACTTTAAAGTTCGTGAGTGTGTAGCCTATATGATACGAATGAATGACGATCGTTTTATCAAATGAAATGGTAAAATTCTTGTGAAGTGACTCTCATAAAAGCTCTGCAATGAAGTTCAAATGTCCTCTTCATAGACGCTGAAAACACAACGCGTGTCCCGCTCGCTTCAGTGTGTAGTAGAGCACACATTGAGCGCTCATTCACAGAAACACGCAGAAGTGGAACATGCAGAGTTTATTTCAATAGCAGTCTTTTTGAGCTTTAATATTCATAGACACTTAGTACATATCGAGATTTGATTATCATTACTTTTGATTTGTTCATTCAAAAATGGCCAAATTGCGTGACGTTCCGCTTTACAGTAACGTTAGCTAGTTACATTTGTTGCTGGATTCCGCGATTCGATCCGTGTCGCTGCGCAAACACAGACGTCACGGCGGGGTGAATTTATGAATGAAAGTTCTTTCACAAAACGATGTTGTTACGAATCCTCACGCTTTTTAAAGTGGGTATACGGAGATCTTTGACATTTCCTAGTGGGCATAGGCATACGGAAATCCTTGACATTTTCTAGTGGGTATACGCCGTATACCTGCGTATCACGTAGACTACACCACTGCACTCAACCATATTGGAGTAAATGCATATAGCAACAGAAAAGCCTGAGGAAAAAACAATTGACTAAGAAGATCAGGTTTGTTTCATCCTCTTTAATTAGTTACATCTGACCTTCTGTGATGAGAGCAGACGTTTTCCACAAGTTTGACATTAACACAAAGTTAGTTTGACGTGAACACGTATAAAAAGTAGGCCTATGTTATGTTCTTAAAGTGTTTGAGGTTCAAAGGATATCATTGTGAGTTTGATGTCAGTTTCTAAAATGTTAAAGAAACTTAAAAGGGTAGTTCATCCAAAAATTAAAATTCTGTCATCATTTACTCACACTCATGGGACAAAAAGATTGGGGGAAAAAAATTAACGGTTTCTGAAAAAGAAACAAAAAAGTCATCGTTTTGGATCAACATGATGTTGAATAATTGATGACAGAATTATTATTTTCTTTTTTTCAATTTTCATTTCATATCCTATTTTTGACTCATATTAACTCATGTTAAAAACAAATATATTTATTTATTCATTTTTTTTTTTTAAATAATATCAATTTGATTGTTTTTCTTCGATTTTTAAAACAAAAAAGATAAGTTTGACATTAAGCTATTCAATAAAATATTCAAGCAAATATCAGAAGGTTTGGCCAATGATAACTTTTATTCATGAACGTTTAATATAAAGTTCATGAATTGAATGGGGTGAAAGGTTCTTTTGTGATTGACGTTCAAAAGGAAGTCATCATAAGTTTGATCACAATGAACCTGGCATTACTAATCACTGATGTGGCTGCTGATCATTTCTTTTGATTTACATGAATGCGTTTGGCAGACACTTTTTTGTATTAAGGCCATCTTTTTTTTTTAGTCCATGCATTCCCTGGGAAATCGAACCCCTGACACTAGTGCCATCCTTTACTGTTTGAGTTACAGGAACGACCTCATTGAGCCTCTTTGACTGCTTTAATGTGGAAGCAAATGATTCAAGCGCCTTTAAGTTCACGATAATGATTTTGTGAGATCTTAATAATGGTTTCTTGGGAGGCAATATGAACAGGCTGACTCATCCTACTGCACCAATAATCCCACAAAACACCAGACATTTCACTCGATATGTGCCGACCATCTACAATACCCCCATATTTCAGACATGGAGCCATATCAATACTTTAATCTCAGTTTACCAATGGGTCTCTTCTACTCAGTACGCTTCTCTCCCAAAGGTCTGTCAGGCTTAGCATCGTATAGAGAGAAGATTGGCGTTCCTCTTATTGATGACCTCGGCTTAATGTCAATGTCTCCGCCTGTCAGCTTAAAGAAGTTTTTTTGAGTGATTAATTTGACAAGACATAACTGAAGACTTGTGTCTAAACTTGCCTAAATGCCAAACTCTAAATGAAAAATCTGTTCTGATAAATCTCAGTAAACATAGTCACTCAGGATATACCTGACTAACCAAGAAAAAACTTCAAGGACTTTATTTATTTCCAAAGAAAATCAATTTGCAAACATTATAAACTCTTATACATTTTCTCTTTAGCTATCTTAAATGAATATTATTCAGACATCTCATTTGTTGCATCTCTTTAACTACTGAGTGTTTTCCATACATGACCTACTTATCAAACATTTCTTTCACTTCCTTTATTAATTCCCTTTGTGGTGTGATGTAATTCAGTGACTGATGTACGCAATTGTCTGGAACGGTTTGTACACTTCAGGACATCACATCCATTTCCAGTGCCGCTCATTATCCCTGGAGTCTTGTGTGTGCACAGCTGCAAAACTTTGCTTTGTAACTTTGATGTGCCGACTTTGATTAGACACATGCAAAACATGGATGCTCATCATGAACATATGCTACTTGAATGCAAATTTAACAGCTTTCAGGATTTTGTGTCTTTCTGGCAACATCTAATTTTTGGCTACTTTGCCTGGTCAAGGAGAAAAACTTAAGACCAAAATCATCCTCAGCTACTAAAGTAGATGTGCTATACTTCAGTATGGAGAACACACATCAAACCCTTAGAAAGAATAAAGACAGGTTATCATTTCAAACAGGTCACAACATTTTTTAACAGATGCAATTTAGTTATTATGTAGCCTATTTCCCCCTTTCAGAATAGTTGACCAAAAGGTTGTAAAGAAAAATAATGTTTTTTAACCTTAAAGTATGTTTCATGTGGCAACATTGTTATTAACTGTTTTTTAAAAAATATATAAATTTTATTTTAAATATTATTTTGTAATATTATTAAAATACTATTATATTTTATTCTATAGCCTACTTTAATATTTTTAAAGTTTAATAACTGTACTAGGTTGCAACAAATAAAGTATTTCTTACAAGCCATTTTACAAGTCATTTCAGACCAAGCTCCTTGGAAACAACTGCACATTCTCAGTTTATACAGCATATATGAAAGTGCATTTATTTAGTTACTTGTCATTTAGCAGATTTATGTTTAATTTTATGTCCACAGCAACTGTCCCCAGTGCAAGGACAATTTCACAGGAGTTATCCTGGGTTAATTACAAACTAATGATTTTAATTGTATTTATTTAATGCATTTATTAATAATTAAACAGATTTGATATCAAACAGGAAAAAAATATAATATTATTGGATACAATATAATACATAATGTAATTATCACCATTTCGTCCTTTTAATGAACAAAACTGAAACAGTCGTATTATTATGAATGTTTATAATTATTATTTTGTTACAAATTAGGTATTAAAAACAGAAATAAGATGCATCTTATTTGTCTGTAAAATACTCACATCTCTGATTGTGGCGCTTCCCTTTTTGTATTGTTCTTCTGTACATGTCCATTAGGTTGTGCATACTATATTTTGATAAATAAATGATTCCTTTCCCCTGAACTTACTTCACTGTAGTGTCACTGTGAGAGACTGACTGAATGGAGTTCAGCACACAGGCATGCACCATTCCAGACCATACCACTGATGCATAATGGGGGTGTTGATAAATATATTAAAAAAATTCTAAACAATTATAAATTATTCATAATCAGGACCCATTAAGTAGTGCAGGAATCCTGTTGTTTTGCATATAAAAAAAGATAAAAAATGTATCTACCATATGTATTGTATAAGAAAATAAGCTTTTACAAATGTATGGCTATATAAATACATACATGTAGGCTATATCAACGATTGATGCAGTTTCTTGTCTCAGATTGTTTATCTGATCTTGGATCATATACATCAAAAGAACAGCATCACACAGCTGCTGCTAAAAACTAATTATAGTGAG